CAGCACCACATAAGCAAAAAGAAAAAAGCCGGAAGTGGCGCTGTGGCTCAAGTGGTAGAGCGCTAGCCTTGAGCTGAAGAGCTGAGGGACAGCCCAGGCCCAGAGTTTAGGCCCCACGACTGGACCCAAAAAAAAAAAAAAAGGATCATAATTTTTTGGCTCTATAATCCAAGCCACTCCGGGGTGTAAATCTGTTTTTGTTTTTTGTAGTCGTGGGGCTTGAACTCGCCTGGGCACTGTCCCTGCGCTCTTCAGCTCAAGGTGAGTGCTCTACAATTTGAGCCACAGTCGCACTTCCAGTTTTCTAGTGGTTTATTGGAAATAAGAGTCTCATGGACTTTCCTGCCCAGGCTGGCTTTGAACCATGATCCTCAGATCTCAGCCTCCTGGGTAGCTAGGATTACTGACATGAGCCACCTACCAGTGCCCAGCTGGAATAGAAATCTGAATGATAATAGTTCAAGGCCACCCCAGGCAAAAGTCAGTGAGACTCTTGTCTCAATAAACAAGCCAAGTATGGTGATTCATGACTGTAATACTAGCTACAAGGGAGATACAGGTAGGAAAACCACAGTCCAAAACCAACCCAAGCTAAAGTATGAGCCTCTACCTGAAAAAGGTCTAGAGGTGTGGACCAAATGTAGAGTGCTTGCCTAGAAAGCACACAAGCGTGTTCAAATACCAGCATACACAAACATACATTCTTTTACATTTTTTCCTACTTTCTTTTTGGTGGCTGGGGGAGGGGGGCGGGGGGGACGGTTGAGGGGGTTTGTGCAGATCTTGGGGCTAGAACTCAGGGTCTGGGTGCTGTTCTTGAGCTTTTTTGCTCAAGGCTAGTACTTCACCAGTAGAATCACAGCTCCACTTCTGGCTTTTTTTCTTAGCTCAGACTTTTCTAAAAGGCAAGTCCCACCTAGTCATCAAAGCAGAATCAAGGCCTAAACAAACAAGAAATGGCCTCCAAGGAAAACCAGTTCTCCCTAGTCTTACAACTGAGTTTCAAGGCCAAAAGCAGAATGTTTGGGGAAAGCTTGCAAGCAAGAACACAACACATAAAAACTTAAGAGGACTCAATTTCTTCTTTGCACTAGCCCCTCCACTCTTACAGCTGTTATTTCAAACTGTCCTGTCTTGAGGAAGAAAGCAAAACCTTGTGCTTTAAAACGTACTCCTAAAAAGTTAAATCATAAAGAAAAAGAGAATCTAGTTTGCTTCAGCCAGAACTCTGACACAGTGGGACAGAGCAGAAGTGTACCTCCTATGGAATCTTCCCACACTTCTGAGTTGTTAGGAATGACTAGCAGAGGCATGTCTTATACACTCCCCAGATATCTGAGCTGGCAAGAACAAAAGATATTCAGCGACCTTAGCCTGGGACAATAGCAACTGTCAGTTGACTACAGTTCTCATGACTCTGTGTTCTACTGTTACCTAAACTTCATTCCAAACAGCACGTCACACCTGCATTAGAACTTGAGAAAGCCATACAGATGAATTCACATAGTAACATAGTGGTTTGGGCATGACACCAATACTAATAGTAAAGTGTGTGTGTTTGTGTATGTATATGTGTATGTGTATATATACACACACACACACACACACGTGTATTTTTTAATGCAAAAGACTTACACAAGCATACTTTTTTTTTAAAGCATTTACAAAGAAGATTTGAAAAGTCCTGGGGCTCCAGTAACCAACACTTGAAATCAACGCCAAAAAGGAACAAAGTAGTTTCCATGTCATGTGAGCTACCTGCTAAGAAGGAAAAGATGAGCATTTCTCCTCTTACCTGAAGCCAAAGGTCGAATCCACTCTTTGCTATTTAGGTCTAGTCTCCAGAGGTCATTGAAGGCAGCATTGCAGCTGCTCTGGGTGCAACCTCCAAACACATACATAGACTGATTTGCATCGTAATAGCATGCACCTAAGGGGGAAAAACAGTGAATACATATTCTGAGATTTCCCCAATACTTTAGTCACAGTCTGTATTTCTCAAAACTACAATATTCTACACATTTTTGTGCATGTGCCAGTCATGGGGTATTCTGGTGCTGTCCTTGAGCTTCTTTTGCTCAAGGCTAGCACTCTATCACTTGAGCCACAGCTCCTCTTGCAGCTTTTTCTGTGATTAATTAAAGAGTCTCATGGATGTTTTTGCATGGGCTGGCTTTGAACAGCAATCTTCAGATCGCAAAATTCTAAGTATCTAGGATTACAGACATGAGCCACCAGCACCTGGCTGTTCTACACATTGTACTTGTCAGGTACTAAACAAATTTTATAACCAGCCTCTTGTCTTCAGATGGATTGATACCACATTAACCTTTGGAAAAGCTACAAAATTTTTATTTCTGAGCACACTAAGTAAACTGATAATGTCATTAAGCAACACAGTAAGTCTAGTAAGAGTACACAAGAATCACATCAAAGGGTGTTCAATGAAGGAAATTTCAACACAGCTGCACGATTAATCTAAATCTGTATCATTACCCTGTAAAGCAAGACAGATTATGCTAGCAGCTATCCTCCAGTCTCCCATTCTTCTAATTCTCATGTTTTTGTATTTTTAAATGAAACCTGAAGTTCTAATCCACACTCAAATGATGACATGAAACTATGAAAACAATTTGAAGTACAACCAGGAGAACTTATTAGTATGGTCCTGAACTGTTCCAAAGCAACTGAAAGAAAAAGCATGGAAGGTATTAAGCATGAAGGTATTAAGCATTAAGGTATATCCACAACTACCAAGGTATGCTGGCTGGTACTGACTAGACAATCAACACAATGAGAAACTTTTCTTTTGCCAGTCCTGGGGCTTGAATCAGGGCCTGGGCACTGTTCCTGAGCTTTGTTGCTCAAAGCTAGTGCTCTTACCACTTGAGCCACAGCGCCATTTCTGGCTTTTTTGTTTATGTGGTACTGAACAATCAAATCCAGGGCTTCAGGCATGCTAAGCAAGCATTCTACCACTAAGCCACATTCCCAGCACGGAAGTTTCAAGATGATGAGGCTTTCTTAGTAGATTACTCTATATATCATCACTGAGAAAGAGACACAAATAGATGAGCTATTAATTCCCCTTAAATCAGAAAGATGGAAGCCACAATCTAGCTGACATGCCTGAGTGCTGAGCTCTGCCACCTTGCCGCTCACTGGGAGGCCCACTGGGAACACATCTGTTGGAAAAGATGACCACCCTCCTTACAGATTTGCATTTACTATCTTAGATTTCAGGAAAAGGCCCCAACAAGGTCTTCCTTTCACTCCCCTTCATCATGCATGCCCAGAGGAGAAAGTGCTCACCATTTTCACTGAACTAACAGTTGGGACTTTCATATAGAAGGAGAAAGGAAAAAGCAATTGAGGGCCTCAGTGATCACCCAGCTATTTGTGGGTTCAGTTCAATTTCACACCTATTTTTTGGGGGGTCCGGTCGTGGGGCCTGAACTCTGGGCCTGGGTGCTGTCCCTCAGCTCTTCAGCTCAAGACTAGCGCTCTACCACTTGAGCCACAGTGCCACTTCTGGCTTTTTTCTTTTTGCTTATGTGGTGCTGAGGAATCAAACCCAGGGCCTCAGGCATGCAAGGCAAGCGCTCTACCACTGAGCCACCTTCCCAGCCCACACCTGACTTTTTAAGATATCTTCTGAACTATGACACCACTTATTCAAGTTCAGGAAAAGGGAAATACTACTACTTTTGACTCATCCAGTGCTACTGATAAAATTACTTTGGAGATATATACTAGTTTTGGGAGTACTCTCACTTAGGGAGTACTCTCTCCCCAAGTCCCTGGGGAGGCCCAGGAAGGAAACTCTACATTAGATGTCCATGTCAGTTAAAGCAGTATTTCCTCAGTTAAATCCTGTAGTCTCAGTCAGTGGCAGTAAATTCAAATTATCTGACTGCTGACACAGCAACACTGGAGCTGCAGGCTTTTCAGAGAAAATGCAAATATGAAAAAATGAAATATATGTAATAACCATCAGGCTTATACTTGCTGTAACGTATTTAACATATACAAAAGTTGAAGTAGGCTTATATTACTGTTGTTTTTAAACATAGCTTTAAGCCTATTTCAAATGAGTTCTTAAGTCCATATCCCACTTCCATTAAGAAGCAGAGTCCTGGGGCTGGGAAGGTGGCTCAGTGGTAGAGTGCTTGCCTTGCATACATGAGGCCCTGGGTTCGATTCCTCAGCACCACATAAGCAAAAAGCCGGAAGTGGCGCTGTGGCTCAAGTGGTAAAGTCCTAGCCAGAACTGGAGACATGGCTCAAGTGGTAGAACACAAACCCTGAGCAAAACAGCTGAGAGGTCTCAAGTTCCTGTCCTAGTACTGACACACACACAAACCTCACACCTATAATCCAGCTCAGGAGACTGATATCTGGAGGCACTGAGGTTGAAGCCAGCTTGACCAGAAAAGTCCACAAGTCTCCATCTCCAATTAACCAGCAAAAAGGAGAGCTGTTAATGTGGCTCAGGTGATAGGGCACCACCCACCAAGCACAAGGCTTAGAGGTCAAACCCCTGTAGTGGGGGAAAAGAATGTAGCAGAATAATAAAAGTTCCACTACTCACATTTCAGATTTGCTATGAACTGAAAATAACCTAAAGATCAAGGTTAGAGTATCATTATAACAAAAGGGTAATTAGTAGAGCCACATTTTGACCTCCATTAAAGGAGTTCAACTCTAGACACTTTGGTTCTTTCAGACCTATCTAGAACTCGTAACCCCAACAAATGCGGCAATTCTGAACTGAACCAACTGTAACTAGGCAAAATTATATTTTCTTTTCATAATCCAGGGCTTGAACTCAGGGCCTAGAGCTCTGCTTTGCTTGCTCAGCTGGTATTCTAACATTTGAGCTATACCTCAAGTCTAGCATTTTGCTAGTTAGTTAGAGATAGAGCCTTGCAGAATTCTCTGCCTAAGCTGACTTTGAACCATGATCCTCCTCTGACCTTGGCCTCCTGAGTAATAATAATTATGATGATAATAATAGTTGTTATTATGTGACAATCCAGAGCTTCAGAACAGAAAATGACAATGTTCTATAGCTTCCAAAACCTTGAATGGTGCTCTATACAATGATGGTTGATAAGATGGATGAATATCATAACTATAGAGTCAAAGGCTAATTTTGTCCCCCTGTGCCTCATAAAGAAACTCTTAGCAGTTGCTCCCTTCATGTAGCAAAGGAACACAGAGCCTTTATTTCTCAAAAAGATAGCAAACATTCTTCTTCTCTATTTGGATTGAAAACCAAGTCAGCAGCTGGGCCCCAGGAGGCCCTTACCACATGTATTTTAATCCTATACTAAAATAGGGCAATCCACATTTTCCTGCTTTACTTTAAGCAAATGAAGGTTTCTGGAAGAGGAAAGTAAGGACTGTAAAGTACATAAAGCCAGCATGTTTCATATACAACTGTATTCTCCTCCCCCCTCCCCCCCTTCCCCTCTCTCACTTTGCGGGGAGACATCTACCATAAGGCTTGAACTAAGGGCCTACACAGTATCCCTGAGGTTGTTTTGCTCAAGGCTAGGACTCTACCACTTCGAGCCACAACTCAACTTCTTCTTCTTTTTTTTTTTTTTTGCCAGTTTTGGGGTTTGAACTCAGGGCCTGGGCATTGTTCCTGAGCTTTTGCTCAAGGCTAGCATTCTACCACTTGAGCCACAGCACCACTTCTGGCTTTGTTTATGTGGTACTGAGGAATCGAACCCAGGTCTTCATGCATGCTAAGCAAGCACTCTACCACTAAGCCACATTCCCAGCCTACTTCCATTTTTTTTTTGGGGTCCGGTCATGGGGCCTGAACTCTGGGTCTGGGCGCTGTCCCTCAGCTCTTCAGCTCAAGGCTAGCTCTCTACCACTTGAACCACAGCGCCACTTCCAGCTTTTTTCTTTTTGCTTATGTGGTGCTGAGGAATCGAACCCAGGGCCTCATGCC